TACAAAATGGAAGAAGGGTACAAGGAGGGTTTACTTAAGCCACCAGCAAAGGATTGGGCCTGACCTTGGGACTCCACACGTAGATCTGACATTTATGCTCTATTTCTAAGCCTTTGCTTTGTCTCAGGCATGGGGATGAGTGCTGCTGCTTGAAGGCAGACACTGACACCTGTAGAGCTAAGGTAGATACTGCGATGGGAAGGTCATGATACTGACTCTCTCCTTCTTCCTCCTTTTAGACTTCCAATGTTATGATGTACCCAGCTGGTCCAGGATCTGGTGACTCCCCGGAGGGCTTCCCTGAACAACCAAGGCTCCAGCCACAAATTGGAAATTGCACAGCTCAGACACTGGGTACTGAGATTGGGTGTATTATACGGTCTATCCTTCTTCAGAGTATGGTTGGGGCAGAAGATTGAGGGTGGGGGACTGGGGAAGAGACTCAAAGAGTTCTTTAGGTAGCACCAAATTGATGGAAGAACTGGCCTTCATTTAGTGACATATGCTTTGTTCAATTAGTCAACAAACGTTTGTTTGGTCCCTACTATATGCCTGGCACTGTATTAGGCACTAGAGGGATACTCCAGGGAGCCAGACTTGGTCCTTGGGCCTTGTGGAGTTTCTTTCTTTCTGTCCTTCCTTCCTTCCTTCCCTCCCTCCCTTACCAATGAGACATCCGCTTCTTTCCAGGTAAGGGAAAAGAGGGTCCATTTGGAACAGGTGGGGAAGGAGACAAAATCTTATATGTTGAAGCAAGGGAGGACTCAGTTCGTGACCCAGAATCTGAACTGGGGAAGACAGCAGAGGCAGGGAAAGGGGGGAAAGGGGAAATGGAAAAGAACTCGTTCCCTCTCCTCTCTGGGCTGAGAAGGCAGGGCTAAGTGAAGCCTTAGAGAAACACCAGACCTTTATTTTACAGATGGGGAGATTGAAGGGCGGAGAGGTTATATGGTGATCCAAAGGTGGACACCTAGTTAGCGGCAGTAGTGGGAATAAAGATGTGGCCTTTGAATACCTACGGAGCCTCCAGCGAGGCACTTAATTTTATTTATTTATTTATTTTTAATTTTAATTTATCAATTTACAATGTAGTTAATTCTCGTGTCCCTTTACCAATTCCTCCTTTCCCCCGTTCCCTCCCATCAACATCGTCTTAACAAGCTCGAGGAGTTGTTGTGATTGCTGAGAGGTACTTAATTTTAAGCCCAGGCGCTTCGATGTCCGTCGGAGCCAGGCGTGCCCGTTGCCCTGGGAACCGGCTCCTCCCGCCCCCTGAAGGCTCACAGAGATCCTAGGCTCGCAATAAAGTTGTTGTTGAAGCGCAGGCGGTGGGAGCCGCAGCGGCACCACGTGGGCCGGCCCGGGGGCGGGGCGTGGGCGGGACCGAGCCTAGAGACACCCGGCGGGCGGCGG